GCACCCGCGAGCAACTCCGTCGGAATCTTCCCGCAAGTGACCGCGCAACAGACAGAGACCTTGATACTGAAGGAGAAGATGCTCTCCCTCACTGGCGACAACTTCGACATCAAACTCGTCAACGGCACACCGATTTTCAGCGTGAAAGGAAAGGTCATGTCGATCTCGGGGCGCAAGTCGGTCTACGATATGAGCGGAACCCATCTATTCGACATCGTAAAAGAGCACTTCCACCTTCACACAACATTCGCCGCCATCGACCCACACGATAAGAAAATTATGGAAGTCAAGAACAGCTTCGCCTGTAAGATCTTCATCCTACCTCCTCTTGAAATATCAAACTGACCAGGTCCGCAGTGATTGGCTCCAAGGCAACTGCTACCTTCATCTCACCAAGCACCGGCAAGACAGAGACCTTGGAAATGAAAGGAAACTGGCTGTCAACTCAGGCAGATATTGTTGACTCCAGTACCGGCCAAGTCTTGGGCAGGATTGACCGCAACATGCTGAGGGCTCGGGACTTTTTCGGAGGCAAGCAGACATACGCGCTCACAGTAGCTCCCGGAGTAGACATGGCGCTCATGGCTGCACTATGTATCTGCTTGGACGAGAAGAAGAACGATAACAACGGTTAGAAGTACCCTTATTATCGATTCTTCAACAACATGAACGTCAGTCATTTTGTGGGAGTGATTCAGCCGGAGATTGTGGGCTTGAGTCGCAGGAAGTTTTTCTCTTGATACTTAGGACTCAGAATTTAATGATTAACGATTATCACGCATGTGTGAATCCCGGATGAAACCTTCATGTGCGGTCTATTAACATTTCTCACAGGCATGGTGAACAAATGATTTGACAGACACCCTGATACTCAACTCATTGTTGAATTTTGTATAAAGTTGTCCTGTTATTATTGATAGTCCTGCCATACCTCAAGCGTAATTCCAGCCGAGATATTCACATTAATGAACACCGGCTAATTAGCCCACTGGCTGTGTATATGTTTCAAAGTCCATATTGTCAATTGAGGCTCAACGATAACCTCGTGACTGAGTCGGTTCGGTTCGGCATCTGACTCGGTCCGGGTGACAATGACACCTCACCGACTCGAACTACCGGCCAAGCGACTCATGCACTCGGGATACGACCACATGGTAACTCCCCCGCAATCTTCCCCGCAAACTACGACGCGAAAGGGTCGTATTGTTTGCGAGAAAATTCCCACACACGCGCAGGATTGGGTTAGTTGCTTGCGCGGTCCAATCGGATTCTGGGGGGAGAAGACGCGATCTCAGGGACGATCGGAATATTGACAAACGACATCGTCGTAATGGAGGACGAGACGAGCGATGTTTGGACCTCTCGGTGTCCAATTTCCCGGGGGTATCATGCTTAAAGACTTTGAGGTGTTCGATATGGCTGTGTAATCTTCAGATTGTTTACATTGTTTACTCTCTCGCTCCGGAACCGTGCTGTTGGTATTCTGCCCAACCACTGAGCTGATTGGATTTCGATTTACTTCGGCTTTCGCTGCGTTGCATTGGGCCTCAGCCACTCGGAACGAAATCGGAATTATGGTACTGCCTTTTCTGCTGCTTTTGGCTGCGGCTGCAGCCGAAGGTGCACCAGCTGCAGGAACCAACCAGTCACCCGAAGCTCAGTGAGTTTAACTCAATATCATGCTCTGTTCACATCTAGTCACTTGCTAACTCCTCTCTCCCGCGGTTAGAATCTTCTCACCTCATGGCATTGCTCTCGGCGCGGAAGCCCAAGTCAAAACTCAGTCCTTCGCCCCTTTCACCCTCACCCCGGATATTCCGATAGCCACCTTCGACTATGGAGCCGAGCGAGCGGGATTTCCGGTATTCGAGGTCTCCGCTCTCGACGGCCCCACCCAGATCGAGGTGAAGTACACCGAGCATTTTGACGGACTGAACCATCCCTTCGGCGACGGGCCGTACAGCTTCTCGAACCAACTGGGAAACAGCTTCCGCGTCGAAACGTTCAACATCACAGCCAAGGGAAAGACTGTTTCTCCTCTTCTTCAAGGTGGACAGAAATGGCAATCCGTCAGGCTGTTGACCAACACCACGGTCACGTTCTCGAATGTGGGATTCGAAGCGACGATCCCAACCGTTGAGCCCGAGGACCTTCCGGGCCAGTTTTCCAGCGACGATGAGGCTTTGAATGAGATTTGGAAGCTGGGCGCCAGGGCTGTGACGGCTGCATGTGTTGATAAGGGAAGTCAACCGGCTATTTGGACGGTTGACGAGGAGAATGGTGTGCTGGCACAGAGCACGAGACCCTCAATGACGTGGAAGGCGACTGCGTGGACGAACTACACAGTGGAGTTCGATACCAAGATCAAGAAGGGAGGTAGTTGGTGGGTTACGGTGAGTGCACGAGGATGAAAATGGTGGTCTTGGAAGACCGTGAGCTGACCAACATCCAGGGTGGAGCGATCGCGGGCAACGGATACACCATCCTTCTCACCGGCGAACTCCCCGAGTCAAACCGATTTGCCAATGTCAATGAGACTCTTACACCTCCGAACACCATTTCGCTCTCATACGGCCCGGACTTCGTGAACCAGACGACCCTGACATCTTACCTCTTGGACGTCTTCAAGATTCCTTTCACCGTGAAAGAGGATACTTGGTACCACATCTCGACATCCATGTCGCCAAGCGGTCACCTCGCGGTCTCGATTAACGATACGCAAGTCTTTAATATCTCACGCTCCGACTACCCCTGGGCTCTGATCTCATCGGGCGCATCGTACTCCGGGACTCCCGACTTCACCGGCTCTTTCGGATTCGGTGCTTACCAAGACCACGCGGCCTACTTCAAGAACGCGCACGCATACGATACGGCCAACGGCTCAACCCTCTACTCGAACAATCTCACCACGCAAGACGTGCTGGTCGAGTACGGCACGCGAGCCAACTATGAGAGCGTCTGCCTCGACGGGCCGAAGCGCGACAGACTCGTCTGGCTCGGCGACTTCTACCACACCGCCCGCATCTCGGCCATCAGCACATCACGAACGGACCAGTCTCGGGGAACCCTCCAGGTGCTACTCGATACTCAGATCGCCAACGGCCAAATGAGCATCTCACCCAACCTGGGCTACGACCTCAAGTCCATCGCGAACGCCCTGGCGCCATCCGGAAGCTACGGGCTGCAGGACTACCAGCTCCTCGGCCTCATGGCCTTCAACGACCACGTCCGCCTGACCAACGACCTCGACTGGGCGCGCTCGACATGGCCGCAGTGGCAGAAGGTGATCGACTGGCTTCTCCCGCAGATCAACACGACAACGGGCCTACTCACCTTTGACGGCGGCTTCGCCTTCACCGGCCCCGCGGACGGGGGCTCGGCCATCTCCTGCGAAGCAGTGCAAAGTCTGAACGGAGCCGCCGACGTGGCTACCATGCTCAACAACACGGCCTCCGCGACCAAGTACCGAACAGCCGCGTCCTCGCTCGCCGATGCGATCAACGAGAAGCTGTGGAACGACGACATCGGGGCGTACGGATACTCGCTCGCCTCCCTGAACGACACCTCCGTCGCGGGAACAGCCTTCTGCATCACCTCCGGCGTCGCCTCCGCAGACCGCACCGCGCGCTCCATCGAGGCGCTCTCGCAGCTGAAGCTCGGCCCCGGGTACAAGGACACCTCGCTCGTCTCCTCCAATGACAGCAGCATCAACATCTCCCCCAACACCAACGGCTTCCTCCTGCACGCGCTCTTCATGGGCAACGCCACGGCCACGGGGAAGGCGCTCATCGAGAGCCTCTGGGGCGCGATGCTGCCCGGCACCGAGGCCGCGAACAAGAGCGCCGTCGGCACGAGCTGGGAGTACGTCAACGCCGCGACGCTGCAGCCCGGCTTAGGGCTGTTCACGAGCCTGAGTCACCCGTGGGGAGGCGCGGCGACGTATATGCTGACGGAGTGGGCGGCGGGCGTGCAGCCTGCTGCGGGGACGGACGGGTTCGGGTACAGGAATTGGGTGGTTGCGCCGGCGGCCGGTGTCGAGATGGGGTTGAAGACGGCGAGGGCCAAGGTTGTGACTGCGTTTGATGGTGACTTGAGCGCGGAGTGGAAGGTTGAGGGGGGCGATCTCTACGTGACAATTCGGGCGCCGACGACGACGAAGGGGAGGTTTGTGTATGGGGGAAAGAGCATTGAGTTGTATGGGCGGTCGGTTTACGAGTTCCATGTCGATGCGGCGCTTAAAGCGGGCATAGTCTAGGTGTTGTAGTTAGATACTTAGATAGACCTATTGTAATTAATCTTAGCCAATACGTATGCCATAGACGTTTTCTTCATGTTCAATTTTCGAAGATCATCAAAGCAGGTCGTGTTGCTTTTGAGTCTACGTTACCCACGCCGTGTCATGACGCGTCAAGTACCTTGCATCTTCGCGTTCTCGCTTCCGGACAAGCGCGACGTGTCATCGTCATCCATAATGTGGATTCGTGTGTCAATCTGGCATCGCGTGCCTCCACTCTGATGCACAGTCGGTTGTGTAGTGTAGTGGTTATCACTGTAAGCTCTCCTCACCAACAGCGCGTCTGTTCATTCCCATGCTAATTACCCATCAGCCGGATTTTGATCATCTCAAAGTCTTCCGGCAACCCCGGTTCGAACCCGGGCTCGACCTCATCTTTTTGGCTTGTTTTTCTTTTTTGATGACAGCAGGCAAGGACTCCAAGAGCACTTCATCTCGCTGAAGTGCTTCTGAACCGTCTTCATAGAGCCTCGACCCACTCTCCACGTTGCCGGGAGGAACACCGTGGCCGGAAGACCCGGCCTCATCAGCACCGACCAACGCCGGCTAGTTTCGGTTGTCGGGGCCGACCTCGGAGTCCTTCAACGGGCGCAGCCCCGACTCTCACCTCCGCACATCACATGACACCCTCTCACGCAACGGAACCGTTGAACAGTCAGCGACTCAGTGGCAGCCATCTCCGCAAACCCCCTCCGTTCAACCCACAATGTCCATCCCCACACGCATCTTGCGGACGCCTCTCATCCCCGCATCCCGATACGTAACCCGAAGAAGCCGCTTCGTCGCCCAGACTTCACCGTTCACCTTCACATATCGCACAATGGCCACCGCTGCAAAGAAGGAGTTCCTCTGCATCCTCCCGGATAAGCCCGACGCGCTCGCCAAGCGCTTGGAGATTAGACCGTGAGTATCTATCTCATAAGATAGGCGATGGTGCTGCGATAAGGGAGCTGACGGTTCACAAGGACTCATTTGGCTGCGGCCAAGTCTGCTGCTTCGGAAGGCAAGGTGGCTGTCGGCGGTGCGTGACCTCATGAGTATGAATAATTGGCTAGATCTGACTGAGATATCCTAGGAGCCATGTTCGAGTCTGAGCATCCCTCAGAAGGCAAGACGCCCGCTTTCAAGGGCAGCATGATCATCTACACTGTCAAGGATGCCGATGAGGCGTGGGAGTTGATCAAGAACGATGTGTACGCCAAGAACGGCGTTTGGGACCTTGAGAAGGCCCAGGTGATCCCCGTAAGTCCTCTTCATGCACAAGAACACATGTTGAACTGCGAGCTGATGTGGCCGTCCTCGCACAGTTCATGTCTGCAGTTCGCCAAGGACTCCAATGACTAGCAAGCCCATCCACCGGAGAAGCCAAAGCTTCTCTATGAAATAGATGACACGGCCTTTAGGTCTACATGATAACTTGCTCCTGGGAATCGCCCATTGACATTACTACATGACTATCATTATTCTCGTGAAAACCTTATGAAACCTCTTGGTCCACAGACTGCATCAAGTCCTCCACGTCCAACCTCTCAGCCAAGTCCAGCAGCGCCTGCGGCGACAGACCGCCCATCCCGCTCGTGTCGAAAATGTCCCAGCCAGGTTCCTCATGATCCATCTGGTCCAGGAACGAGCCGTGGTCGTGGTGCTGCGGATGCGCCGTGCTCGGCGACGGCGTCGGGGGCTGTTCCGGGGCCGGGGTGAAGGCCGTCATGATGTTCTCCAGCTGGCTGAGCTCGAGCTTGCGCAGCGGGGCCACGAGGCTTCCCTTGGATATCATTTTGTCCAGGACACACTTGATGTTTTCGCACCAGGTGTCGTCGTGAAGGAGGGAGGGGTCGATGACGCGGACGAGGTAGAGGAGGAAGGCGGAGGAGAAGGCGTCTTCGAGTTGGAAGGGCAGGAAGGCTTCTGATGGGTAGTCAGCAGTTTGATTGCTATATTGGGATATCTTAATGGGTCTTTTGGAACATCGACTGACCTAGCAAATCTTCGTCGCCTAGCACTCGGAGTGTCCTGAGGACTGTCTGGGCGGAATCGACGCATGATTGTAGTAGTGACGCAACGGGCGGCGTCAAAGAGACTGTCTGCGTAGCTCGTAGATCGGAATGTTCGATGTGAATATGCAAAGCGCACATAACCAGAGGTCGGGTTGTAAGAACAACGCACTGGTTGTCTAAGCTGAATGTCTTCAAGCCCGGGTAGGGTGTTGACTTACGTGGTGGTACGAGAGGATGAGCCTCAAGGCCATCCTAGACGCTCTGCTCACCGAACCCTGGAAGTGAGTGTCAAGAAGCGCCGTCAAGTCTCGAGAAAGTCGTGCAAGATCTCGGAGGATAGACTGAGTATTTGACACAAGGGACCCGTCGAACGACTTGCCGACACCGTACACCGCTAAGGTCTCAAGTCAGCCGGTGGAAACTCAGACAACGCCCGGCAGAAGACTCACTGGTTAGAATGCGCGCCATCAAGCGCGAGAGCCGGACGTGGAGCGTCATATTCAGGGCGTCCAAGGAGTTGTCCATTTGCGAAGGGAGCTTCACTGTGATGTCCTCGTCTCGGATGGAGCTGGGTGCACCCATCAGAGCAGAGAACTCCCGGTCCAAGGTGTACACCACCCAGAACACAATATTACAGCGTCGCGAATGTTCCACGCCGACGACCTCTTCCGGCATGTGCCGGTATATGCCTTCGACGATGCTGATACGCAACGCTTGTCCGATCTGGGCCAGAATTAGTACTTGTATTCCAGGTGTGCGTCACCCTCAACTCACATGTTGAAATGCCGCCAGTCTCATATCGAGACACTGAAAGTAGACAGCCGCCAAAGCAAGAGCTTGTATTGATGATATCGTATCAGGTTCGAGTCCAGATAGGTCCGGCAGCAATGACATGGCCCTGGTAGCATACTGGACGCCCGCCGGACCGGTATGGGAGCTGCTCTGATTCACCACGAATGCCTTGCCAAAGGCCAGTATCAACAGGTACTGTGCGTACCAGAGCCTTGATGACCTTGCTTTTGCAGCGGGGTCATCGTAGAACTCATGCAGATTCTTCATGAACGACTTTTCGTCGATGAGGTAGAACACCGCGCCGAGGTAGAACTTGGCTGTGTTGAAGAGGAACATGGCGTAGTCTAATGGCGGGAGATTCGACACATCCGGTTCCTCATTGAGGCCAAGCGGCTTCCATTGCATCCGGAAGGCTCCCTCGTGGGGGAGATGCCATGGATCTGGCGCTGCTTCTGGGATTCTCTTCCCAAGCAGGGCGAGGACTCTGCGACAAAAGGACCATGATGACGTTGGCCCCATGTACCCTGAGAGCCTCCGTCAGCGCGTCCATGCTTAAGAAGATGGCGAGAGAAATTACTTACAGTACTTTCCGCCTGCTTTGGCAAACGTGTAGTCGTTGTCGACTAACGGGTTCTGTCGAAATCCAGGCCCAAAGTCACCGTGATGAGCAGGTGTATCGCCACGATCATCGGGCTCAGACTCTGGTTCAGACTGCTGGTCTCCGCCAAGTAGGGGACTGTCTATGTATCAAAGTCAGTCTAGATGCACAACTCAGAAGGACGTCCATATCGGATTCAAGAACCAACCATGACTTGGAGTTTCCAAATGCCCAGTCACCTCTTCACGCCGAGGCAAGGGTTGACGATGCGGCGTTCCATACGGCTCGCTGTACCGCGAAGGGCCATCGTCAATATCATGGCCCCGGCTCACCGCCCTGACCGACCGATCCGAGGCCTGTTCGCTATTCCGATTCTGAAGTTCACGGAGGTAACTGGTAGAGTGGGTCAACTGGAGAGTCCCGACAACACGCGCCCGCCCGCCCGCTCACCGACAACTCACCTCTCCGGGACCGATATTCTCTTATCCTCAACCGCAAAGATGCACCGATGCTTCTTCCGGTCACACCTCGTGCACGGTTGTGAGCCCGAGCACTTGACCTTCATCACTCTGCATCTTTCGCAACTATTTTCAGCAACACAGAAAAACAACGTTAGTCATGTGAGCCCTCCCATTCCGTTTTCGGGTTTCCCCGCACGCACGCTTTTTGACATTTTTTCGTCACTTTGTACTGTCCCTGACTTAATTGCGGCATCTTGAATGGTTTCCAGGGCTCGTGTCACTGTATTCCATGTCGTTTCGCTGAGCGAGGGCTCTTGTTGGTGTTGTTCGTTCGCCGTTGCAGATATTGTCGGAGCGAGCTTCCGACAACGGAACTCATGGCTGCGGCAGCGCGTTGTCTTTATTTAGGTGTCTGTCTCTGCGCAGGCCAAGCGGTTTAGCGCATTCATGGATGGCTTATCAGCGCTGGGGTGCGTAGCTGACGCGCACCGCAGATAGCCGACTGGCTTTTTTTGCTCCGTATTCCGGGGTCTTATCAGTGCGGCAGAAGGGAGAAGACTCAGAGGGAGGGGATGCCTTGTTACCCCACACTTTGTGTCCTTCCTGGCATCGGAGTCTGTCTGGAGATGGTTACATTGGATTGACACATACAAAGTCATGTGGCCATGCTGAGCCTGTGTCATGTCAACGCAAGAGGCGTCTGTGTATGTAGGGAGCACGCGGAGTCCGGGGTTCGGATGCTCGGTGGCCATTGGATGACATGAACGATCGTCACTCCAGTCAAGATTGTTCGCGGGGAAAACGGGGCTGGGAGAAAGCATTGGCCATGCTTGAACGGGGTTGTGACTTCGGCCGTGCAATTGCAGAAGCCCCTTTCGATATTGACTTTTTGTTGACAGATCACGAGGGTGTTTGGAAGAGCCAAAGATAGATAATCCCAGCCGAAAATGCCGAGTATATGGAGACGCAGAGGCAATTGGGTTGTAATCCCAGACGGAACACATCGGCATAGAGATTCAAGCCGAAAAGACACCGCAATCAGAATGAAGATATTAGCATTGAAGGGGATACAAGTCGATCTCTCGGAGGACGACACTCGATCACTCGGCTCCTGCTCGATATGGGCTAGCTGAGGGTTGACGCAATGTCGGACCGACACTCCGACATTCCTGACATCCGAGCTGATGGTCAAAGTGGAGATCGGAAAGCCATCCCGACTATTCTCAGCCAATCAGTGCTGTTGTTGTTATCAACCGCGACGGACAGACCGCGAGGCTTGTCCCGGACAGGCCGCAGAGGGATCGAATGCGATTGCGGCTTCCATGTGAGCGTTCCTCTGCAGGGCGCACAGAACGCAGCGAGGTCGTTGTTTTTGATTATTTTTTGTTGACTGCAAAGTGGGAATGAAATTTGTTCAATCAAGCGATTACTCTGCAATCTTGGGACTGGGGACTCCAAGTGAAACGTAGCAGTGACTTACACCTGGGCAAGCCGCCTATGTCAGTCAAGATTTCATGACGTGGAGATACATCTTGAGCCCTGGCTTTCATCCACATAAACATCACACAATGGCTGAAGAAATGAACATGAAATGAACATATGAAAGGATATCAATTCGCTTGTCATTATCTAGGGATATAATCTAATCTTAATGCATCGCTCAAACCAACACCTCAACCAAAGACTCTCCGGCGCAGCTCATTCTTCAGAATGACAGCTTCATGCCGTGTCCTCTCAACCGCGCCCTTGTTCTCAATAGCCCGGCGGTGCAGGTAGCCCATGCACTCCGCCACAGAGCCCCACGGGATGTACTTGAACGGCTTGGGGATGTCATCCCTCTTCAACCCAGAGTCTGTCACGCAATTGTCGTAGTTGTCCAAGAGCTCGCAGCTCAACTCATCCGCCAATCCCATGAGCTGGCCGCACTCCAAAGTTGTCGTGCTCTTTCCCTCAAGCAGCCTGCGTCGGTGCGCGGAGATGGCCTTGGTGGAGCTGTTGGCGTTATGGGTGGCGAGGAACAGCGCGCTCGGGGGGAACTGCAGACCCTCAGATCCCTTGGGCAGTCGTTGGCTGATGAACATGTCGGCGATGCCGTCGAAGCAGTTGTGGGTGTCCTCAATCGTGTCGTGAATCAGGGACCGGACTTCGTGCTCGATGTAAGCGCCGCGGACGAGCTTGATGCCGAGACTCCAGCCTTCCTTTGCGGCGAGGGCAATGTGACGCTCAACGTTGGCGGTGGAGCCCTTGAGGTATGCTTGGATAGTGTTGAAAACTAGAGGGCGGGCTTCGCGGTTGTGCTTTCTCATGAGATCGATGGTCCACTCGTCCAGTGTCGGTTGGAGAGCCTGCTGCTCGGCGTCGATCCAGACACGGGCACCCTTCTGTCTTCCGGCTTCGCAAATCTCATCAAGGGCCTCGCTGAGAACCTTGGGAACGGCCGCAGAACCTCGCATAGCATCCACGGCGATAGGACCAGCGCCAGTAACTCTGGAGATCTTATGTTAGCCATTGAGCTTGTGGGACACGAGACTGGATAGACTTACTTGACGGCAATGAAGTCGCCAGGCTCCATCATCTGGAGCGTGTCGAGATTACCCTTCTTCCACTCCTGCACCATCTGATAGAAGGCCGGTGCGTAGTCTCCCTCCTTCGATCCTGCCTGTGCCTTCTTCGTGTCCAGGACGATTTCTCTAGCGTAATTGAGAATGACTCCCTGGTAACCCATCTGCTTAACATTTGCGACTGCCTTCCTAACTTCCGGAACGTTCGTTCCTGCGCAGAAGTGGTCGTATATCGTCCATCTCAACAGCTTGTTTAGAAGCGGGTTTCTGTCGGGGTTGAAAAGTAGTGATTTCGATGTTGTGATAAAGCCGAGGATTGGTAGTGATAGCCTCATCAATAGTGGCGAAGATGTGAATTGTGTGAGGAATAGCGATCGGAGGAGAGTTGGCGTTGGTAATCTTGAAAGGGCCGATCTTTTTGTTGTTGTTGTTGTGGTCTGGGGAATAAGAGTCTGAGGCTTTGGCACCGCGGTGCTAGTACGGTTGGCCGCCGTCGTGTGTACATTTCTTGGTGCTCCCTGCAGACGAAGAGATCTGCAAAGAGGCACGGGCACGCGCCTGCACATAACAGAGGAAGACATCGTGAGGAGTTGCAGAGTTTGGATGAACGAGGTGTGCTCAGTCACGAATGAGGGAGAGATAGATGAGGGAGGGTTAGATATAGTTGCTATGGACGGCTACGGCCGGCACAAACCTTAGATGTGTCAAAGTGGCGGCATGACTTGGGGTATCGTCGAGCAGCTTCGCCGAGCCCACCACCCCTCCCACCGACCGGCTTTCCGAGATTTGTCTCAGACCCCAGATACGCACTAAAGATAGTCGGTGCCATTGAGGCTCTGCTCCATCGCGGGTTCTGGCGGCGTTCGTCCAAAATTCCCAGAGCTCCACCAGGTGGATAACGGGACTTGAAGATGCAAACAAGACGGTTTACTGGCACTGATTGGCTCTCGCGCGACCCAAAATCTGGAGCAGAGGCGTTATCGGATCCTTTGAATTAAGTTTCTTGAGATAAGAGTGACCATTTTCTCCAGTGTCGGAGGCGAGGAATGGGGGGTGACCCCGGTAAGGGCTAGTCGGTGCGCAGTCCCGACATGTCGGATCGGAAAGGTCTTATCATGTCGGGTGACCATCCCGACAACGGCACCACCAAGTGAAACTCAAGACGGCGACTTCTGGGTGTGACACCCGACATCGGAACGTTTGACAGAGTTGCATTGTACATCGTAATTATAGATGTTTTAAGAATTGATATAATTATTCAATTCGTTCAGTCACTACCAACCGTTTGAGTCAAGACCTGATGACCTAGAGTTTAGCCCTCTGTTAGCTTAGAAACAAGGTCGAATCCCGTGGGAGGGAAAACCTTTTTCAGGATGTCGCTCGGTCTGCAACAATGTGTTTTTCGAATCTCAAAAAAACGCAGTTCGACATTCCAGACGTTAGATGGGTGTATATGAGCGGCAGTAGGATATTGTTGCAAGCCATAATCAAACAATCAGACGATGTACAAGTTGAGGATCCAAAGCTATGTCACAACGTCTTTGAAGGCGCGCACGGACTGGGTTGGTTTCATTGGGTTATCTACTCATGAGTTGAAGTTCGGGGTGCGAGTTTGTAACATAAATTTTGATGGGATCTACATGTAGGCATACAGCTTTGATATTTCGCAACTCTGACATTGTAAGACGATCGCTTACTCGACTACAATAATTCCCAAAGCTCAAGGCAATCATGGCCAATGTTCGCGCCGAGTTTGGCTATTAAGCTCCTCTTAAGCAGGCCACGAGACTGTCACGAAGTAGCAGGTGTGCTCCGACGCGGCAAAACAGATCAGCAGGATATCATACTAAGTGCATATCCATAGACATCTGTGTTCAGGCGAGGAAACGACGTTAGACTTCATGAATGCACGGGCATTTTTGCAGGTGACTTGAGAGCGCTGTCCGCTTCCCGCTGCATGATAGAGCATAGGTTCTTGACTTCAGGTAGAGATGGGAAACGCGGATCCAGTAGAAAGGAAAGTGAGCTGTAATTAAGCTATGACTGTGGTATAAGAAAATTGATAATACAGATTTTGAGGGTATTATGGCCAGGGAGGTTTTCGGTCTTGCCGGCCCGCTTACTGCAAAATCCCAGCAGAATGTTAGTAGTAATCAAATTCCCAATGCAGCATCTTCTGTCCCACACAATTTCAAACAATCTCCCTTTTTGGCAATAATTCTTTCCACACCGCATTTCTTGCCTCAAATCTTTCCCAGGACCCTCTTCACCAGAGACTTCTTTCT